TGGTGCTGGTGCTGCTGGTGCTGCTGCTGCTGCTGCTGCTGCCGCCGCCGCCGCCGCCGCCGCCGCTGCTGCTGCGCAGTAATTACTTAAGTAGTTGGAGCAGGATGTGTCAGAAACCATCACAGACATAGGGTAAAAGTAGAAGAAATAGTAGTAGGTTGTTGCTGGTATTGCTACTTCCGCCACCAGCACAAGAAAGTTTCTTCCCGGGTCTAGTGTTTCACTCGATTGTCCCAAGATCCTACCCAAGACCAGGGTTTCATTGGACGTAAAGACTCGCCGAGACTTCCACCCCAAAGCCACGATACCTACTTCCTCAATCCTAAACCCTAAACCCTACACCGTGGATTGGTCTAGCTGAACCCTACGCCTTGTTCTGAACACTCCACCGGGCGCTGCAGCGCCCACTGCAGCCAGCGATTTCCCATGGCAGGCTGACGACGCAGGCCGTCTTTCAGGGTGTCTTGGGCTTAAGGCAAGTTTAAGGAACCGTGATTGCGATAATGCGCCGAGAGAATGCAAGAAGACAGGGGCTCTGCACAGAAACCCACCAGACCTTGTTGGGCATGACCACAAAAACGTACAATGCATGCAGATACAGGGAAGCACGCCATGCAACACAAGTTACGGACTGAACTCTCGCTTGAGTGTTCTACAAATATGCTACAACTTTCGATAAATCCTGCCGCATCAATGTAGACACTGGGTGTCAAGCTTTGCTAATTCACCTTTACCCCCTAAACCCTAAACCTCCATGTGAGTGAAGAGACCTCGTCGCTCCAAAGGAGCGAGGGCGGGTCTGTAGATATCTGCAGCATTAACAGAATGATAACGCTACCCTAAGTCCTAAACCCAAAGCCCTAAACCCTAAACCCTGAACCCTAAACCCTAAACCCAAAGTCCTTAACCCTAAACCCTGATATAATGCTGGCACATCGAAGGCCTGGCCCAGCCATTCCAACTGGAAGCCTCTTGGACCCACAGTGAACACAGAATTCTCAACAACCCCCCTTGGGGCTTCTGCGAAACTCAGAATGACAGATTATACCTACATCGAACCCCGAACGGTGAAATCCTGAAAAATCCTACTACATCCTGGAGCCTAAAACCCTTAAATCTACTGAATTTGGGGCGACTGCTCGAGCGACTCCGCCATCTCCTAGCCCGGTCGCTTTAGGTTTCAGAGTTTCGGGTCCGGGGTTTAGGGTTCGGGGCTTAGGATTCGGGGTGTCGCAGGGTTTTCGGCGCACAAGCCGGGCGAGATTCTTGGTGCTGAGTCGGTTGGGGTGAAAGGGTTTAGGCTTAGGATTTGTGGTTCTAAACCCGAAACGCTAAACCGTAAACCCTAAAGTTCTTGGGTCTGCTTGATACGGTTGAAGAGTTTATATAGGACATACTTAGAGGCTCAGGCGACTTCTTGTGCTAGAAGCACCCTCGTTGGAGTCACAAGAACACAAGAGGAGCAGCTACCTAAGTTAATATCCGGATTTACGAAGTTCCCGGATAATGATATGTCACGTATGTCAAGGGCTTCGGGCTTTGGTATCCCAACCGTTTGCTCTCCAAAACGTTAAATCACTAGTAAATCCCAAAACCAAGTACTCAATTATGCGCAACTTTGGCAAATTACAGGGCCCTACAAAACCGAAATATAAATAGGTACCCTCCCAACCGGTCCGAAACCCTCAAACCCTAAACCCCTGAAACATATAAAAAAAAAGCAACAAAGCCTTAAACCCTTGTGGCTGCCAGTTTGAAGATCACGGAACTCGGCTGCACTTCGTCTTCAGGGCTCAAGGGTTCTAGCCTAATCCAAATATCCTTCGTTCCTACACCTTCCACCCCTAAAGCCCAAATCCATAAACCCTCACAACCCCAAACCCATAAACCCCAAATCCAGAAGCCATAAAACCCTTACATCCCTAAACCCCAAATCCATATACCCTCAACCCCAAATTTCCCTAACCCCAAGAAACCCCAAATCCATAAACCCTACACCCCTTAGCCCCAAATCCCTAAACCCTAAACCCTAGGGTTCCCGTAAACTAAACCCACAAGCCCTAAACCCTAAACCCGATAACACCAAATCCACAAACCCTTCCATCCCGATAACCCCAAATCCCTAAACCCTAAACCCTAAACCCCTAAACCCCTAAACCCACTAACCCGCAAATTCACGTCTCCTGGAGCTCCGATATCTCCGCGCCGGACAGCGCCTCGTACCTTCCAAAGGTGCAAGAGAAAAGGCTGTGACTTCTCTCTTTTTTTTAGAGCTTTTCGGGCCCGTCGTTTGGGGCTTTAGGGCCCCTTTTTAGTGGCTTTAAGGGTTTCGGTGGTTTTTGCTTGGGGGGTTAGGGGTTTTGGGGAGGCTTGATTGCAGGTTGCATGGGGTTTAACAGACCCTAAACCCTAAACCCTAAACCCTAAACCCTAAACCCTAAACCCTAAACCTTGGAGTTTAGGGCTTCGGGCCCGTGGGGTTTCGGATTGGTCTAGCGGCTTTCAGGGCTTCCAAAACAAATTTGATGAGGTTTGTGCTGTGACTTGCCGGGTCCTATAGGGTTGTTGTGGGGTTTACCGTTTTTGCCTTGGGGTTTTGGGTTTGTTTCGGGGGATCTATGGGTACGTCGAGGGTTTGGGGGCGGAGGGCTTATGATTATGGGTGTCCGTCTGACTGGTCGAGGGCTTCGTCATGAGCTAAAGAGTACCAGAGATTGTTCCCCTGCAAAACCAATATATAAAGCCAAAAGAAACCCTTAAACAAGCCCCAGGCCCGGATCTAGGGGTCTCATGAAGTAGTCATACTTTCTACCCGTTCCGAGTGTTACTCCGGCATCATATACCAGAACTACGTGCTACAAGTGGTTACGTAGCACGGCCCCCTTTCAGCACGGGCTTGTGGTGGCATGTCGGCCGCCCTAAAGCCACCGTAAACCCTAAACCCTAAACCCTAAAGCCTAAACCCCGAACGCCACTGTTAGGACCAACGTCCAGAAGGCTTTCTTCCGCGCCTCTCTGCGGACTCCTCAGGGATCTTCCCAGAATCCACCAAATCTTCGACCTCGCTGTGGGGCTCTGCGCTGGTCATTTACTTAGGGACCTCAACAAGCAGAATGGGGGTGTTGCGTGATATATTATAGTCTATTCAAATCTTTTTATATAGGAACTGTAAGTGCTGAGCCAGGTTTATTGTGAAAACCAAGCTGTCGAAAGGCACAGCGGGCAAGAATCGGGCACGAACAGTCGAAAAAAACACAAGGCGACCCTCATCTAGGAGCCTCCGTAATTCGGAGGCTTTGGGTATATCCTACTATGAAAACAGGGAGACAACGGATGAGTAGTTCTCACAGTTCAGCTTCTATGTTGCAGAACCGAACACGTTTCTACCATAAACAGGGCAGCAGCAAGGACAGTTGCATAGCCGTGACGACAATCAGATTCACAAACTTCACAAGCACCACCACCACCACCTCCAAACTCTGAACACCCCCCAAACCCTGAGCCGTAAGGAGGGCTTTGTATGTTTATAGCGCTTTGTAGCATCCTACAAGGGGTGTTATGAAGTTCTCTTCTTGTTCAGGATTTCACATTGCGGGGCTTTGTGTTAAAGTCCACACATCTGGCGCAGAGCGGAGAAAGGCTTTGAGTTCAGGCGAACTAACCCCCAAACCCTAAACTCGAAACCCTAGTTCCTAAACCCTAAACCCTAAACCCTAAACCCTAAACTCTAAACCCTAAACTCGAAACCCTAATTCCTAAACCCTAAAACCTAAACCCTGAACCGTAGACCGTCAACCCGGAACCCTGAACTCGAAACTCTGACCTGAAACCCTCAACCGCTACCTCTAGCTCGCTCCTTCTCCTGAGCCCTAACATTAGTCCAAGGGGTCTTAACACTTAGAACAGGGGTTAATGTGATGCTACAGTTACAAGAAGGAACCCGCAAAATAGTATAGTTAATTATTTAGGCCCCTACACAAAACCCCTAAACCCTAAACCCCTAAGCTTAAACCCTAAACCCCCAAACCCTAAACCCCAAAACCAGGCCTCCATATTGCCCCCGAAACAGCATACTCACCACAGAAGCACACTCGCCGTCCCAGAACCGCGAAGGCCAAAAGGTTTAGGGTTTAGGAATGGGCTTGGAGGTTAGGGTTTAGGGTTT